TCTAATAAATTATAATAATTAATTAAAATATTAAAATTAAAGTTGTCGCTAAATGAAAATAATATGACCTATATTGCTGATAGTAGTAGTTTAATAGACTACGCGTCACTTAACTTTAAATTTTTGAAATCCAGTATTACTATCAACCTATCCAGACCGCAACTATGTAGGTACTTTTTGATTAGCTTAAGATTGTTGCACATTGTTATTAATTAATTTAATTATAATAATTATTTGAATTTTCTTTAAAGATAAATATATAGATTTAAGCAAAGTTACTTGTGTTCGGATTTTTAGAAATTGATAACCCATCGAATTTTTGTAACATTTTACAAATATGTTATAAATAATATATAAATAAATAACTTCTTCCTTATCTTATCCCAGAAGTTTTGATAGCAAGCAAAAATATTTTGGGAGATTTAAATTTCCCTTGAAAAAGTGCCTTAATAGTGCCTGAATAAGAAAAGAATAACCGTAATAAAATTAAATAAATAACTATTGCAATTTTTATTGAAAAAGTGCCTTAATATCTGACTTAAAAAAGGCTACCTTTAACCGTATTCTATTAAAAAAATATTTAAAATTTTAATTAAATGTACAATTTTTGGTTTTTTTAGGGTATTTTAAAAACAAAAAATGATAAGTCAAATTTCTTTTTGGATAATTGATCGAGGGGTAAACCACTGATTTTATTAAATTAAAAATCGCTTACGAATTAACGGCTAAGGATAACAATAACAAGGGTAGTCATGTACAACGCGTCGCTAAGCACTGATTAAGCACCGATTAAGCACCGATTAAGCAAGTTTTCCTTATTGATAACGACTGATAAGGAAAAAAATCTCAACACAACGTCCACTAACATTGAACGTTGGTCTCTAAGATTTTAAAGTGGTTTACCCCTCGTAATTGATCGGCAAGAAAATGCGCTTTTTCCTAATTTAAGAAACTGTAAAACTCTATAAAGATAAGCAATATATGGGTATATGCTTAGCAGGGCCGGCGACAATAGCGGTGCTCGCGGGCTCAAGCACCACACGTATAGTAAAATGGTGGTACTCAGCACCACACGTATCTTCAGCAGAAAAATTGCATTTCTTTTGCGGTTGAAGCTGAGGAATCCAAATTTTAAAGTATAAAAGTCGGTCGGTACCTATAGTATGTATAAGTGTATGTATCTTGGAATAGTAGGAATAACATACCGACACGTCGCGACGTGTATTTAGGGTATTTCTACCATACCGACGGTAACCGACCAAACTTTGAGTTATATTATTATTATTATTTACAGTTCGTGCGGTTTGTTTATTATCTCTGAGTTCGTGTGTGCTACCACCAATTGTGTTAGTGGATAGATACCCGACTTTTTATCAACAAATGTAAGTTAGTTCGAATCTTAGACTAACTCTGTTTTAATTGTCTCTCGTAAAAAAAATCTAGAACGATTATTTTAAACCCGTATTTTTGATGCTGGTAACCCTTAATCCAAGAAGTGGCAGATTCCAACCCTAAAAACGTCCGATGTGGCAGTAATATATATTAGTGCTAAAATTAGTAGTGTGCTTATTACGCGAGATATTTCAAAGTTAAAAAACTTTCCCTGTATATAAAATGTGACTAAGTTTGATAAATAAATTGACTAAAAAACTATTCCAATTTTATTTTGTTCTCCTTCCCGCAACCCCCAAGGAAAAGAACACCCACACTCCCCATCCATTAACCACTGCTACCAACCAACTGTAGATGAGCACTACACGTCAAAATGAAAAGCTGCCGGCCCTGATGCTTAGCCTCGAAAAAGGGACACCTTTACAAACATTTTTGTTTTTTAGAAATCTCAAAAATATTTCGAAAAAATAATTTATTATTTTTGCTTTCTTTGGCAATCTTATATGGAATCACAGTATTTCATGGGGAAAAAGTGATTTTAAAATAAAAAGCAGTTTATTCAAACCCTTTTTATTACAAATATAATGGAAACATTATTTAAATAGGTTTTATATAGACTATTCCACTCATTACTTTATAGACCAATCAGATTTCAGAAAACGAGTGGTTTTTTTCAGTTTTGCAGCACTAAAACTACTATTTAGGTGACTATTTCCCTCGTCTTAATTTCCACCAATCACAAACGCGCAATTTTGAATTACAAATGGTTTCTAGGTGAAAAAACTGTGTGACAGCACCTGTCAGCAGTTTTTTCGAGTTTACCCGCGGCAAAACTTGACAGATGTTGTCACCAAAAATTGCAATTTATATTTTAATTGTTACTCATGAAATAGTCTTGTCAAATACCATTCGGGATCAAATTTTTCCTCTGAAAAAAATCGAAAAAACACAATTCTAAGTAATATTTTTTAACAAAATGCATTCGTGCAGGTGCAAAAATCCTCCTCTTCGACTCGGATTTTTGTTGCCACCAGCACTCATGTTTTTGTTAAAATATTACTTAGCAACGTGTTTTTTCGATTCTTTTCGGAAAAATTAAGTGCCCTTATGATATTACACAAACACTCATTTTACGAGTACCTATGCTAAAAGTTATTGTCAATGTTGACGTTTCTAATTTTAAAATAAATATGTTAAAAAATATGCGTTTTGTTCAAAAAAATCATACAGAAATTTAATCGGCAGTTAATTGTAGTTTAAAAAAATATATTCGAGAAATAGTCTTGCCGAATACCACTTGTGATAAAATTTTCTCTTGTAAATGTTTTGATTTTAATTTACTCAAGATTTTTCCTTGGAAATTTCGCTCGTTGCATTAATTAAAAATTAATGCTACTAACATTCGTAAATATAAAAATCAAAAATTTTATAGGTAAAATTTTACCACCCAACTCAAAATCTTGTTAAAAATGTTCAAAAAAAAAAATTCTCTGAAAATTTGAGCCCTTAATGTTAACTCAAAGTACTCTACCAAAGCGTATAAAGATTTCCCATTTAAAATACATGTAAACTTTGATTATTTTTTTTAAATATCTATATCTCAGCCGCATTTTATGCTATTGGATTATTTCAAAAAAGGATTTACTCGTAATCAAAAGTTCTACAAAAATGTAATGTATCTGCACTTGTAGTATGGTACTGGTCACTAAATCTTATTTAAGTGAAACATTCTCATATTTTTTTAAGATATTTCAAAAGTGACTGGATTCTTTAAAAAATGGACAAACTTGTAGAAAATTTAATTTTCTTTAAAAAAGGTCTTATCAGTTGAATGGCTAAGATTGATATTTGTTGAGATATAATGCGTTTACATTGACAATTTATGAAATTTTTAGAATTTTCGTACCAAAATTTTTATAAATGATGATTTTCAATTGTTTATCACTACAATTTCATGTAATTACGTTTTTTCTACAGTCGGGTGATTAGAGAAAAATAAATAACTAAAACAATCAAGCATAATTATTAATAAAATAACATGTTGTATGTAATACACCCCGTTATATCAATTTTCGGTTAGATATATCTTTTCTCTTTAAAGTTATGTTAAGGCGTATTCATGCTCACTTAAAATAAGAAATAAGAAATAAGGAATAAGAAATAAGAAATAAGTTTGCGATTGATCGTTCATGCTGATAACATAAGAAATAAAAAATGTTGTCACACAATTATATTTTATTATAGTGGATTATATTGGCTATAAACGTAAACAATCGACAGCGACACTCAACGCGATTTCCAACACCATGGCTCCATGGCCAGCACATAAAACCCATCAAAATAATTCACAGACCCATTTTGGTTCTTTGCGCAGTTTTATACGCAAGAATAAGAACCAAAGTTAAAAATTGTTAATCTTTATTCTTATTTCTTATTTTTTATTTTCATGAGCATGAACGAAACCAATACTTTACACAGTTTTAACTTTTTATCTTATTTCTTATTCTTATTTCTTATTTCTTATTTCTTATTTCTTATTTCTTATTTCTTATTTCTTATTTCTTATTTCTTATTTCTTATTTCTTATTTCTTATTTCTTATTTCTTATTTCTTATTTCTTATTTCTTATTTCTTATTTCTTATTTCTTATTTCTTATTTCTTATTTCTTATTTCTTATTTCTTATTTCTTATTTCTTATTTCTTATTTCTTATTTCTTATTTCTTATTTCTTATTTCTTATTTCTTATTTCTTATTTCTTATTTCTTATTTCTTATTTCTTATTTCTTATTTCTTATTTCTTATTTCTTATTTCTTATTTCTTATTTCTTATTTCTTATTTCTTATTTCTTATTTTAGTGAGCATGAATGCGCCTTTAATTAAATGGGAAACTAAAATAAAAACAGCGACCTCTTATAGTTGAGCTGGATCGCCCATATTTGGTGAGGATTTTTTTTATATTAAATAGAAATATTTAAAAGGGTAAGAGCAAAAAATAAAACAAATTTTTGAAGCACTCTAATATATATTTATATATATATTATATATTTTAAGATTTTAACTTATAATTTTTTCCTATTTTTGTAATTTACATGGTTTAGAGAAAATGGAATAAATATTTAATTGAAACGGTTGTACTACAAAATATTCAGTTTTAACAGATGTTAAAAAAATGTATTAATTTAATAAATGTAAACAATTTTTATATAACCATAAAATATTTATTTTGTCTATATTTGCTCCCAATATTTATATTAAATTATGTATAGGTAAATAAAGCTATGTTTGCTTGGTTATTTCATTAAAAGTTTATGGAATTTTAAAGGATTATTTTTATACTATTTGGAAAAAATACTTCGTCATTAATTACAATTAATTTTATATAAGACAAAATATTACGTCTATATATTTTTCATTTAAAGCATATGGTTTATATTAAAACTATTTTTAAATAAAATTTAGTGCCAAAAAATAATCTCTTAAACAATACTACAATTAATTATAATTTTATGCAACAAACTGTTTTAACCCATGTAAAAAATCTCTTCACATTAAAACAGACAAATTTTTGTTTTATTTTTTTATTTACCTATGTGTTAATGTTCTAGGATTTGAACTGCCATGTGACACACCAAACAATGAAGTTGGAATCTGTGTAGGAATAAAGAGTTGTAAGGTTTTAATGAAGGCCTTATACAAACCCAATGCCAAAAAATTTTTAATTGCTTCAAAATGTGGAGATCCAAGATATGATCAAACAAATCCAAAAGTTTGTTGTGGAAAATGGGGACATTTTGTTAGAAACCCAGGTAAAAAATATATTTAGATATGTATAAAATATAATACCTATAATATACCTACTCTGTTAACTTTTTCCTTTAATTTCAAATGTTAAGTCTATAAAACCATACAGTTTGTATTCGGTTTTCAATATCGTTTCTTCACTGATTATAAGAATTATTCTGCCATTCACAGAAAAAGGTCCGATAATTGGATTTTGATTGAAACAGAGAAATAGGCAAAAACCTAGGTTACTGGTGAATAAGGTTCAATTGTACAGATAAAAGTTTTTCACCGCGCCCGCAAACTCCAATACTTTGTATGGAAATGGAAAACTGACATTTAGCTCTAGTCGTAAGAACAAGACCTTAAATGAAAGAACTAAAATAAAAAATACGCATTATTATTTAAATAATATTCTATACAATTTGCTATGATTTTTAGACGTAAATGCTGGGCCTCCTAAATAATTTCTAATAATATTTTTTTTCTTAAATTTTCATTGGAACATGTTAAAGGCTATTTTAGAGCCAAATACAAAATTTGAGCCAAATCGGTTAAATAAATAGACTTGGCTAAACGTTAACATGTATTAAAAAAATGGGTTAATTTAAAATAATTTTAAGCCAATATTATTGAACTTAGCCACTTTTAAAATTAAAAAAAACAATAGCCTACCCGAGTAGCTTATTTTTTCTTTTATTAGAAAAAATGCCTTACATGCCGAACGGTGAAATTCCACCATACAATATTCAACATTCAACGCTTGCACCTGCGGATGATCAAATAATTACAATTGATAATAAATTTATGGATAATTCAACCACATTTCAAGAGAAACATACGGAGGTTCACGTTATTGATAATGATAGTAAGTAGAGGAACCTTATTTTTACCTTCTACTCTCTTGTCACTCTAACTCATTAAAAAGTATATTATTTTCCATAATCATTAATACTAATAATACTCACAAATCATACCTAGATAAGTCCAAAAGCCTGTTAATTATAATTATTTGTTTAAAGTGCTTTTTATCGTTTTAATCTATGTATTATGGTGTACCCTGTGGCGGCTGGTGAATTTTGGGTATACCCATATCTCAGTTATTAGACATGGGACCCACACCAAAATTATTGGGGGAAACTAGCTGAGAAACAAACTTTTTTTCGCAAACTTTAATTAAAATTCTGCTAGCGCAGATCTTGTCTATTTAATGTCATTATAAACTCATATAATTTTGGTGTGGGTAGAGATGCGACTTGAAAAAAAACTGTCCGTTTTTTTTGTTTCTTTTCAGGTTTTTTTTTCATTGTTTTTTTTTCAAATGTTTTTTTTTCATATTTTAGGGTTTTTTCCAAGATAAGTCCCATTTGCCTAATTTTTTATGTTTCCAGTCCAGTTTATGGACTAAAATTAGCCACTAAATGACAATTATTAAATGTAAATACAGTTTTGAGCTCTGCACGCGCCACCACCACCGAATTGACCTTAAGGGCCGCGCTTGTTTTGATTTGGTCCTAAAAAAAGTAACTACCTATAATATTTTTGATTCAGCGCTTGATTTTTCAAAAAGCTAAAAAAGCACTTTTTTCATGATTTTTCAAATTCATGTAGAGTATGGAATTTTTTTTTTCAAAAAAGAATAGCAAATTCTTGTAGAACATTTATTCATTGGTGGTTAAGTCAGAACATTCCGTGTACCAAAAAAGAAAGCCAAAAAATTACGGTATTTGTTAGGATCTTGTTCTAAGGTTAGGATTGAGCGTTGCACGTTTTTTATTTAAAAATCTCAAAACTAGAAACTTCAAGCTACAAATTGCTTTTTTACGGGTCCAATACGACCATTTTTAACGAAGATGTATATCCGAAAAATCGCAAAAAAATTGGATTTGTAAAATTGGATTTGTTTTATCCTTTAATTTTTTCTATTAGTGTAGAAGTTTTACATACATTGCTATTGGTTTCTTATGTCAAAACTACCAAATAATAAGAAATCAGATTTATATCCGAAAAATCGCAAAAAAATTGGATTTGTTTTATCCTTTAATTTTTTCTATTAGTGTAGAAGTTTTATGTACATTGCTATTGGTTTCTTATGTGAAAACTACCAAATAATAAGAAATCAGATTTTTTAGTCTTGGTCAAAATTTTCAATATTGAAAAATGTAATATATTCTACATTTCACTTTATTATTAATATACATTTAAATTTCATTTTAAAAAATTTTTCCATTTTTTAAGATTGATGTTATTTATTTACAGAATATGCTTTATTGAAGTGGATTTGAAAAAAAAAACAAAAAAAAACCGTTTTTTTTCTAGTTTTTTTTTTCATGTTTTTTTTTCACATCTGAAAAAAACCGATTTTTTACATCTATAGGTGTGGGTCCCATGTCTAATAAGTTAGTAATAACTGAGTTATGGGTATACCCAAAATTTACCAGCCGTACAGTCAAGGATGTAATGCAGTATTAAAGTAAATTTTATCTTCATCAGAAAAGAAAAGTTTTGTTTAGCTTTCATTATCTTTATAGGAATATGCATATCTTTATGAGAAATTTAAAAACACTATAAACAATTCATTCACCAGCTCTTGGTCTATAATGATTCAATAGTATTTTTTAGTTAATCCACTTCCAAAAAAATGTGGCGTTCAAAAGCATATTATGGGTGGTAGAATATTTGGTGGAGAAGAAGCCGAATTGGGGGAGTTTCCTTGGATGGCACGAATCATACATGAAAACGATTTTGGATACAAAAATTTTGGGTGTGCAGGATTCTTAATTACTTCTAGATTCGTTATGACTGCAGCTCACTGTCTACTTTCAGATAAAATAGCAATAAGAGGAAATATGTAAGATATACATTTTATTTTTGTTTAAAGTTCAGAAAAAAACAACAGAAACTGTTTGCCTTAGATTAAGCACCTTATGGTCGCTTGTTTTGACTTTATAACATGCAGGGATGGCTCAGGGGTAATTGGCGTTCGTGTCACGTTCATAAACTTTTAGGCACCCTCAATTATACGTAATTATTTAAATTTCTTAGATAAAAAATGTTCAAAATTTTTCAAGACACTCTTACGGTTAAACGGATAACCCCTAGAGCCGGTCCTGATAACTAACATGTCCAGGAGTACTTTAAGACTTTCCTTTTAGATCATCTGTATTGCTTGGCGAACATAATGTAAAACATGAAATAGATTGTACAAGATTAAACACTACTTGTGCTCCTCCAACAGTAGAAATAAGAGTACTACAGCAAATAGCAAATCCACTTTATGAAATGCGATCCAAATCTCATCCTCATGATATTGCACTATTGCATTTAGCGAAACCCATCACCTTTTCAGGTATTTATTTATACAGGGTGTCACCTAATAAATTTTCATCCTTTGGGGGGATGATAGTAAAAGCCAAAAACAAGAAAGTTTTTCCTCTGTTACTTTGGATTAGAGCTACTCTTTTTAATAAAAAATTTAAGATTTTTTTTTGACAAAACCAGGGATCCACTGAATGTCACTTAACCATCTTATATATCATCATTGTTTTTATCTTTAAAAACAGTGATATTATTCATCCAAGGAAAAAAGAAAGGTATGCGCACAGTATATTGTGTAATATCAAGCAAACTTTTAAACTTCACGGAGAGAAATGTGTAGTAAATTTTAAAAAAAATATAGTAAAATTTTTAGGGTAACAATATTATATATTCGTCAATACAATATTAAGATTGTAATACAAAATACTATTTTTTATTATACAATTTTAGTAAAGATTACAACACCAATATTACTAAATTTTAAATGTTTAATATATATTTTAATTTTTAATATGTTCATATAGTAAATTGATTTTACTATCTACAAATAGTAATATTAACTATATGATTTAATCAAATGTAAGGTGTACATCTAATATTAAAATATATTACACATTAATAAAAAATATAGTAAAAATAAAGATACTTTTATGTTTAAGGTAAATAAACAATATATTTAAATATAATATACAATATAGTAACTCATGACATTTTAAACATTCAATTCTCTTAGTTTCTTCAATAAACTTTCTTTACCCATTACTGGTAATACTTATAAGAAAGAATTGAACCTACTTGGTTGCATAGTATGTACCGATTGTGGCAAAGGCCACGTCGCGACGCGTCGTTAGACGGTGTGGATCACGTGATGTTCTTACATCTCGCCTCTGTTGGCTTACCAACCATGTTATATAAGCTCAGGTATTTCTTTGTTTTGGTTGTGTTCCACTACTACAAGTTGCTCGACAGTGTCCTGTCGACACTGATGATACCCAATATAGGTCAAAATACCTGTGTGTCGGTATTTGAAGTTAATGGAACGCACTCCAAAGAAAAAACTTTCGCGAGGTGTAGGTTCAATTCTTTCTCATAACATTTTTGTATATTAAAAAGTACAATAAATATGTTACAATTTTTAATTGTTAACATGTAAAAATATTCGATTTTAAAATATTTTATATTTAAAATGGCAACATAATATTTTAAAATTTACTATACTTATTAGTAATGGAAAAAATCTAATTATAATAAGAATTAAAAACAAAATTGGTTGAGAATAATAATATTTTACCTTAAGGTTTAACATACATGGATATTTAAAAATTACTAAATATGCATAGTATCTGGCAATATACAAGATAGTTGTCCCAAATTGTAATATAAATTATAGTAAAGGGTATTATAATTATGGTAATCAGCATTATACTATTCTCTCCGTGTTGTTCAAAATCGGTTGTTATTGTGGTTTCTCTGGGGCTACATGAACAGTTTAGTGTACCAGAGCTAAGTTGACACATTATAAGAACTCCGCGAACTTGTCACTGTAGCGAACATGATAGCAAGACATATCGATTTTATACTCCGCTGTCAACTTTGTATGGATAATACCGGCTGGATAGTTGAATATTTATTATGATTTTGCGAAACACTTAAAAAAATAGCTACATGAGCATCAATCGACGTAAAATTTTGTGGTAGCCTAGGGTTGTATTTAAACTCTCTTGTCTTATACACTTTAACTTTATTAATATAAATAAACTAGAACAATTAAATTCGTCTTAACTAATGCGTTATCAATACTGAATCATTGGTGTTCGTGTCGTGTCACACGACTCGTGTGTCTGTGTAGTCAGTTGCGTCACCCAAAACCGGTGAGTCAATCCGTCCGTGCGGGTCTCCACACCCACTGTGCAAGCATATTTTGCGTCAGTTGTCATAGGTCAGGAACAACCAGTATCGACCCATATAAAAAAAAATTTATTTGTAAAATATGGCACAAATGCAAAAATTATAGAGGAAAATCTTTCTTATTTTGGCATGTACTATCATCCCCTCAAAGAAAAACAATTTATTTGGTGACACCCTGTATAATAAAAAATGTATGCCATTTTTCTTTTTTTTAGAATATATACAACCAATATGTTTACATACTAAACAAAATTATGTGGTATACAACTATTACGTCAGTGGTTGGGGAAAAACCGAAGCTCGTAAGTGTTGTACATAAGTAGAGATGGGATTTTAGTGTTATTACCCATTTGTGTACGCTAATCATCTAAAAATTTTGAAGAAAATGATTTCATTTGAGCCTGATATTACCTATTTTTCCTAAATTGTCATTTTCAAGAGAAAAGGTCCAAATTTTTACATATTACTATCTAAACTAGTGTAATTTTACCTATTTCACCTAAATTCTTATTTTTAACAAAAACAAAATTTTCAAATTTTACCATCAAAAACATGTTTTTGTTGTTGTTATATTGGAGTTGTCATATTCGGATGAAAGTTATTTTTGTTGTTCAGGATTGGTAGTGTTAGTTGTTTGAGAGTAGTTGGTACTGAGAATCGCGACGAGAATATGACATTCCTGTGCAATGTTGCCAGGTCTCTTGCTTTTGCATGAGATCTCAAGTTTTTCCCAAGCTTTTTTATGAGAAAGTATTTTTTTTTAAATTTCTACCATAATAAATGTGAATTTGTTATTTTCAGCAATTGTATGCTTAATAAGAAAAACATTTTGAATGTGCCGCCGCATTATAAAATTATAAAATTTTTGATGGTATTATAATAATTTTACAAGAAATATTCGTCAGTTATTTTCAAATTTTTTAAATCATAAAAATCTTGTTCAATACAATTTTATACAATAGTAAATTAAATTTTTTCACCACCCAAAAGTTGGTTTCCAGCACATATTTTCGTAAAGTACGTACCTAATTTAACCATTTGTTCACCTAAAACAAGAAAAAAAATTACCAATTTAGGAACCTATTTTTATTAATTTGGCAACCTAAAATCCCATCTCTATACATAAGATTATATACCAGGGTCTAATATTAAACACAGCAAACTCCAATATTTTGTTAAAATGATATGATATGTTTATATCATGCCTTATATTATTGCCCATATTACTAAGTCGTACTTAGTACTTAGTACACCTCTTTCTTTAAACCTTATTAAATTTCGACTTTATGGCAAGTGGTACATATGTGTACCAAAGTGAGATAAAGGGAATACTTTAATAGCCCATTCCTTATAAATGTACTCAAATGAAGTTTGCTGGGTTTGATATTCTATATTTAAACTCCATGTTAGTAATTTTTTAGGAATTAAAAAATAAACCAGTATTTACTTAAAAAAATTACTTCAGAGGTCAAACCCTGATATAGCACACAATTACACCACAATAGGGTGTCAGTTATTTCCCTAGTTGATTTTTTTACTTGGGTATCATCTAAATTATTTTTTACAATCTAAAAATAATTTTGGAAAAAAAAATCCGATGTCGTTTAATCCTGCCTAAATGATGATATTTTGACCTTTAAACTCCGTTTTTAAAATTACAATTTTTATTTAAAGTACTGAAAAATAACCTAAAAATACATATTGTTTATAAAATTTCACTTGAAATACTTAACAATAACCTATAAATATATATTTTTTTATGAAATTTAATTTAACATCCATTTCTAGCATACGGAAAGGACAAATAATAAAACTTTTTTTATAAAAAAAATATAAGTAATTTATTATATATTATTTTTGCGTCAAAATTGTCAAAAATATTCTTCTTTTATTTGGTTAAACAATAAATTAAAAAAACGCATGATAGGTATATTTTATAAAACTAGAAATTATTAGTCATTAGCCATTAGTCGCTTCGGTGTCTGAGACCGAAAGTTAAAAATTACGTTTATTAAATATTTTGCGTTCATATTTAAATTTTTAAGAAAAACACTATGTTAATATTTTTAAAAGTAATGTTTTTAATAAACAAACAACAAAATATCAATACAAGAACAAAAAATTAGTATAATTCATCACAAGAAATATTTTGTTTTGACCCGCTATTTTCTTGCCTTTCCTTTACGAAATCTTCTTTGTCGTTGTCTTCATCGTCATTAAAATTACTTTTATTTTCTGAATCTTTCTCTTCCATTAATTTTTAAAACCTTAATACTCGCATCGGTCTCTCGCACCGAAATAAATTCTGGAAGCCGCTAAATCACACCCATGCGCTAACGCTTTTAGACTTAAGTTCGAACGGCTAATGTAGGAAGGTACCTAGGAGGGGATAGCGCAAAGTCGATGCCCTAAAGAAGTACGTTAAAAAATTTAAAGCGTCGGTCTTACACACCGGGTGCGACTAATCAAGGGTTAATAATTGACAGATGTGGATGGGACAAGATAATGTATAGCCTAATAGAAGAAGAATATTTTTGACAATTTTGATGTCAAAATATTATATAATTAATAAATTATCTACAATTTTTTTATAACAGTTTTTTAATTCGTGCGTTTCACACGCTTGAAATGGCCGTTAAAATACCTACTGAAAAATAACATTATTTTTGTATACATGTGTAGAATTATAACAGCAATACAGAGTTAAACAATGTTTGCGCTTTTATGTAATCTCACTTTTATTGTACTTACTTTTTGGTACATCGATGAGTTGTAATTATTTAAATTTGTTACAAAAGAAAATCTTTAGGGGAGTATTTTTTTAAAAATTCATTGGAAAGGGAGAAATTTCAAAAACCTTTGTTTACACCTCAAATTCAACCATCCTTAAAACCTATATTTATTATTATTTTAATTAATAGTATATTGTTCGACTAGTGAAAGAAAGAGGAGATTCCTTGAGCATGAAGTTTGCCGAGTGCGGTAACACGCAATTGGAATCTCCTGTTTTGACCAATAGTCGCACACAATATCGTATTTACCTTCTGCAAGTAATTTAAAGCCAATTTTTTTATATTTTATCTGGCATCTGAGAACTGAAGTTTTAATCACTTTTTATTTAATTTTAACTTAAAGCTAACTTGATTTATCAGGGAATTTATTATTTTGCACACTTTCAGCAGGGCCATGCAATTACATATTCCTTGCGGGTGTGGATTAAAGTTAAATTATTACCTAGAACCTGTATAACAAAGATTAATCATATGTCATTTTCAAGGTGAGGTTTCCAATGTAAAGATGAAATTGGAGTTGCCCAGATATGACCATAAACCATGTATAGCCAAATATAATCAAATTGGCTTGGAGATCACTGATAATCAAATTTGCGCAGGGGGTAAGTAGTAACTAGTAACTAGGTCAAATAAGTTTACAACATTTTTTTGGTGAAATTCGTCATTTGTGGCTATTTCTAAAATAAAACCTACTTATTGCTGTTACACAAAGGTATTTAGGTATAAATCTTCTTCTATATGTTTGGCCCAAATATTTTTTTTTAATTCAGATTTTGTGAAAAAATACGACAAGCACAATCAATTCAATCTTCTATACAAAAGTATGTTAGACCAATGGTCAAAAGCTTTGTTACGTTAAGTAGCCCGAATTCAAGTCCAGTTTTTGATAACAAAGCCGAATTAATTTAATCAATTATAATTGATATTATTAATAATTATTAATAAAATATTGTTTTTTTAAAATCTTTGGTTGTTCGCTGATATATAAGCGAAAAAGCAATATGTTTCGAGTGTGCTTTTACATCAAATGGCTGCCCGGCACTGATGAGTTCCACAATACTGAAACAGGCTCTCTGTCAGTGTCTGTTCGTGAAGGCACACTTGAAACAAACCAATGGCGACAGGGTAAAAGGCCAGTTCTTGCTATTTTGTCACTACTCTCCTTAAGTAATTTTAAACTTTAATTAAAGATTTTTATTGTTGATTGTTGATGGTAACAATTTAATATCCCTATATTGGATAAAGTGGTGTCCTATTACCACAACTAACGAACAAAAAATATATTAATCAGGCAATGTTTGGAGGTTCCGCCACGTTTTTAAAGTTCAGCAGATAAAATCTGCACAAGATAAAATCTGCACTTTAAAGAGGTGGCGGACCCTCCAAATATTTTCTGATCAAAATCATTTTTTTTTTTCGTTAATTGTGATATCTAGGTAATAGTTCACCACTTTTTCTATTCTAATATGGGCGTATTTTCACCATAAGTAATGTATTTTGCTCAGCTAAAATAGTCATATTAAATGGTCACCATCATGTATTTCACTTCACCCTAATGCAAAACTACGAGACTGTAAAATATTTTTTTTAATAAGTTGATGTTATACTTGCCAAACCAAACAAAAATGTTACTGATATTCATACTTCTAGTCTACACCAACATTTGTTAGTTATCAATTTTGCATTAACATTAACGACATCTTTTTGTCCATTTGGAACAAAATAATTCTTGTTCTTCTCTTTGTTGGACAATTACGCGGTAGTTTGACAGATATAATGACTATTAAAACTTTCATGAATTAGTTTGCGCTGTCGAATCAAAAAAAATTCTCCATTAAAGTTTAGGGGATTGACTGCAAACATATGCAACATGTGATGTCAGAACTGTTAACCACACCATTCGTAATTCAAATAGAACATCAGGTGAGATTCCCACAACAAAGTATTAAATTTAGATTTTTGGCGCTTGGTTTCTTTTTGTTTGTTATTCAATTGCTATTTTAACAAACCAATTTTAGTCTTAAATATTAAAAAAAAGTGGTTGTGGTTAGGAAATTAGGTATATTTAATAACTCCTGATTCATCTTAGAATTGAATATAATGTATCTTAAAATAGTGTTGTTGCTTCTTGTCAATTAATTTAGAATGGTAGTGACATCGGGTGAGAGTCCTACAACAAAGTATTAATAGGTTTTATAGGTTTATGGCGATTGATTTCTTTTTGTTTGTTATACAATTACAATTTTAACAACATTTCTCAAAAAAACTTGCAAACCAATTTTTGTCATAAAATATGTTAGTGGTTAGGAAATGATTTTGTTTTTCAAGCGTACAATAAGTTTTATATTATAAGACTCATAAGTCTATAAAGAAAGACTTCATATTAATACTAGTTCAAAAGTCACTCCGTGTAGAAACAAGGCTAAAATATAATCATGTCAGTTGAACCAAACCTAAAAATGATGTGACAGAATCTTAAGAAATTATTTAATTAAATGCTTGAAAAAAAATAGTATAAAAAACACAGCGGCGAAAGCATATTAATTGCCTTGAACACAATCTACTGCCTCGGCAGTGAAATGCTTGGCGATAATATGTGCTTTTTCCGCCTGGTCTATTACGTACTATTATTTGAACTCCTAATTCATCTTGTCAATATATTAGAACTGATTATAATGTATCATCAGCACCCTTTATTTTCTGAGTGGAACAGCATATTATGTATTTAGAGCAAAATTATTGTTTATTTGATATCATATATATATATATATATATATATGTTTCTATTCAGTTTATATATATACATAGACTTGTGTTGTTTTATCTTAATGATTTATCATATCGATGAGTTTCTTCCAAAGTATCGCAAGCAACATACTTTGGCAAAAACTCATCGATATAATCTTAATTTAAAATATCTCTACATAAATAACAATTTGGACTATGGCTCCTCAATTATTGTTAGGACACTAAATATTATTAAGAAGCTTAGACCTTATAACACTCGATGCGTAATGTGTGTCAAAATCATCGCATCTGTTATAACAGACTATAGCCTCCAAGATGTACCGTACAGTTTCAAAAGAAATCCAAGAAAATTTGTATACTGGATACTTAAGTATTATAATTATTATAGATTGATAACATTTAAATTTATACTTACAAAATTGTATGTTATATTGACTAATCCAATATTTAATTAATAGTTAAATAAAAACATGTCGCCGAAATCGCAAGGGAGGCCAATGACTAAAAGGACTTAAAGATAAATGTACGTCTTCCTGTCGAATTTACGCTGTATTTTTCACTCTGCACCTTTTTTCCATTTTAGGTTATTTTTGTATACCACTTATAAACTCTTGTTTTACTCATAGCAGACTCACCATAGGCCTTTATTAACATTTCACACACTTTATTTTATTTTTTACGCAAAATTTGATACAAATTCTTTGATCCATTTCTTTTAACGAACGAAAATCGCCAAGCTCATAAAAACACGTCTAACCTTAGCGGCTGCCACAGACAAAGTAAACAATGAAAACATTTAAAATTTTTATACATTCTTCATGGGTATGTATACTAGGGTGTCCGTTATTTACCAACTTGGTTTTTTTGTTTGAAGTGCCCCCTAAATTTTTAGTTTATGACCTAAAAAGAATTATAATAAAAATTATAAAAAAAAATATTCATTTTAAACCGTGCCACAAAGACGATACATTTTCCGTTTAAATAACATGGGGTTTCGGCAAGTTTTACATATATACTTTTTTCTCTGAAGCATGTTAAAATATAGCAAAAAGTGATATATATTTTTATATGAAATTGAACGCTGTACAAAAAAGCTTTCCTATGTGACGAGCTGTGACTTTATGGCGCTTTAGTCACGGGCTGAAGTTGGCAATAAGTAGTGGCTTTTGGGAATTTTAGTCACGGGCTGAAATTAGCTTTATTATATATTAGAGAAAAGTGAGGTTAATTCCATTGACATTTGATAGATGTCAAATGTTTAACAAATATAATTGGCTTTAAATTCTTTTTTGTGTTCGTCGTAGATAAAGTATACTTAGTAGGCAACTCGCTTAATAAACTTATCTAGACACTTGTTTTTAATAAGCTTCGCTCGTGCCTAATAAAACTCGTAATTAAATTTGCTTTTTGTAAAATTTCACAGAAATAAAAATATTATGTAAAAAAAGTAATAGTTCTAAATTTGAGTAAAACTAGTTCCAGATTCATTTAATGTAATAAACAATTTTTAATTTATCGGAAGTTCTTGTCAATAATTTTCACTTATCTCTTTTCAATAATTTTGACTTTTTCAATAAAACATTAAATCACATATTTTCAAAAATTAACAATTTATTTTCATAAAAATAATGATAATTTTGCAGTCAAAGTAAAAAAATCGAAAAAATTACTATTAGTTCAATTTTTTCAATCTTAAATAACTTTTAAACCAGTGAATTTATCGAAAAATCATAGGAAAGTTTTTTTGTACAGCATTTAATTTCCTATAAAAATATGTATCACTTATTGCTGTATTTTAACTTGCTTCAGAGAAAAAAAATATATGTAAAACTTGCCGAAACCCCATGTTATTTAAACGGAAAATGTATCGTCTTTGTGGCACGCTTTAAAATGAATACTTTTATTTATAATTTTTTTATAATTATTTTTAGGTCATAAATTAAAAATTTAGGGGGCACTGCAAACAAAAAAACCAAGTTGGTAAATAACGGACACCCTAATGTATACCAACATAATAAAGACAATTTTATGACAACCGGACTCTCCAAACCCGCGAAATTTAAAAATTCCCGTTATTTTCTGAACACACCTCGTACATTTGTGGCGTAATACAAACCAACTTCAAAAAATAAAATCTATCGTACCATTTTAATTAATTTAAATATACAAATTTCTGATATTCTAATTATTTTTATTATTTCTTTTATACTTGTAAATGTTGCATATAAATTTGTTAAAATTCACAATACTTTAATAATAAACAATAATGTAAGCGAAGATTTCCATTATAAAGGGGTGATTTTCATTAAAATGTCGAGTTTTGCCTCCTTTGGAATTTTAAAATGTAAAGAATCTGTTAAATTGATTGCATAATTTTTCCTACTAAATATCCCAGAGGCATGTACATTTATTTGACTCCTTATAACATATAATAGCATGCTCAACTCATGGGAAAAGTTCATTTTCCAGCTTGTGAAAATTGGTTTCACTCGCCAAGGCTCGTTGAACCAACCTTTTTACTCACTGGAAAACTCTTCTTTTCTTGTAGAACAATCTACTAATAATAAATTAAATTGAATAAACTTAATTAATTAAATATTTTAGGTCTAAAAGGAAAAGACAGCTGTACAGGGGACTCAGGTGGACCATTAATGATGTCTCCAAATGGAACGGTTTGGTTTGCTGCAGGTCTCGTTAGTTATGGAGTTGGATGTGGCAAAGAAGGATGGCCAGGAGTTTACACAAATATTCCAATGTATTTATCATGGATTAAAAGTACAATAAGAGAATATGCCAGTGTTAGAAGCGACATACGAATTAAAAAATTGTAGTGTATTTATTTATTGTAGGAATTTTATTAATATACGTATAAATAATGATTATGTATATTTTATGTATTTGCCAACTAAATATTATCCCCTCAATTATGCAGGTTTTTACCGATGAAGAAGACCGAAATCCAGCAAACGATTCACGAATATTCCTGCAGGATTATACAAGTAACGCTATGCCGCATCTTAATATTAATACCTTAGTAATTACATGGTCGACGGGTAAACAGATTCATTTTAACATGTTTTTATTAACTCGGTTTTTAAAAGTTATTCTGTACAAATTTTGTAATCTATTTTAAACTAACTTTCCGAGGAGCTAGAGACTTTAAACATAGCTCAGACCTGGATGACGCGACTGCGTTACGAAGTCCTAACGTCATGTATGGAAATTCGTACAGTCCGAACGGTGTCGTAATGGTTGTTTTGGGGATGTTCTCATCGGCTACGGGTATCTGGTTGAACGCACGCACTAAATTGACAGTAAAAAAGGTAACCTTTCCATACAGCATTTGGGCGAAGTCTTGGATGTGGCGCACCGAGTATTGGTCCGGTTGCGTCCGGTCATTAAGACCTTTCTTCGGCATTATGTGCGGAGGTGCTGCCCACGGGCTTTCGGAGGGCCTGGCGAGTCCAAGTCAGAGCATTGCTTCAAACTTTTTGGCCGCTTAGTCCGGAACGTCGGGCCGCGTTATTTATGGGAATTCTCGTATAATAGCATGAAACTGTAAGGCACCTTTGGTGGTCTGATGCTAGGAGCGTCACACTCAGTCACCTCAACTTGCAGGGTGAGTCTTGTGACGGATTCCAGGATTCGCCCGCTCCTTAAATCGGGAAGTAGTGCATAATGTGCCAAAAAGTCGGCCCCAATGATAGGCTTAGAAAGTTCCACGCAAAGGCTCGTCTCAGCCCAAGATTGAGGGTGAGCGTCGTTACGTCGTAAGTCGCGATGCGTGTGCCGTTGGCGGCGGAAAATACGTAGCTGGACTTTTTACACGGCTCACGGTAGAACTTACGCGGGAATACGCACAGATCAGCCCCAGTGTCTACTAAAATCGGAATCCCGACTCGCGATCGTGCACAAAAAGACAGCGAGATGTTGACGGGCGGGTGTCGTCGGCCGCCATTAACGACTGCCCCTCTCGTTTCCCGGAGCCCAAGTACACGGCTTCGTACACTTCTGCGCATCCTCCACAAAAGTCCAGTGGTACCAACACATGACAGCTGGGCACGGTCTGCGCGAATCCGACCTCGAGCGGGGTCACCACTTTAGCGACTGGGTGTACGGGTAGGTAAGCGAATTGACCAATTAGGTATATACAAACTTAACTTTATTATATACACATTTATAGACAAACTCTCTACGAACTTAGCCGTTGTATTCAAGACGGAGAATTAGGATGTAGTGATCGATGAGATCCCAGATCTTCCACCGTTGGTCGGGGTAGTAGGTGTAAAATATTTAGAACGGTGCAAAAATCCAAAAAATAATATTGTCTATTATGTTCTTGGATTTAATTTATAAACATGAATATATTTCTTTTGTAAAGGTAAAGGAGGGGTAAAGGAATAATAAACCTAGGGATGTTTGCAAATGATGGGAAATTTTGCTTTGTTGAAAGAAACCGCTCCGGGTACTAAAATATTTACAATATAATTAAGGGTTCAGACCAAAGATATTATCTTTGGTTCAGACCCCACAAATGTAACACTATTAAATTCATTTAAAAAGAATGCAATACCTATATAAGACAACAAAGTAGACAGTTTATCTATTTGATCTAAAAAATACTTAGTTCATATTGCCCTTTTTTCCCGTTTAATTTAAATTATCTCTCTGGAGACTAATTTTAATTGAGTAAAACACTCCTTTATACACTCTTTTATTTATTTATTTTGTGTAAAATTCATGCACTTCTTTTTGCTAAATGTATTATTTTGAAGTGTTATACCTATATTAGTACCGTTTTACATATCATAGCGTTAGAATAGATTAGTGGATGATTAAAATAAAGATTTGATTTTAGTTTAAACATTTAATTAAAAAGAGGTAAAATAACGACAACATAATTTCTTTTCTTAAATTACTAATGGGTATTACCTTCCCTAACTCTAATTACAGCTTGCATTCTTCTGGGAATGCTTTGCAGAAGATGTTTAATGGTTTTTTGCGGAATTCCATTCCATTTTTTGTGAACAGCATTTTGTAAAGTTTCAATTGAATTAGGGACTGGATTTCGAGCTATATACGGCGTTTGAGAATGTCCCATACGTGCTCGATCGGGTTTAAGTTGGGACTTAATGGAGGACAATCTAATGACGCAATCCCGACTTGCTCAAAGTACTAAAGCACTGTACCGTCTACATGTGGCCGCTTCAATACAAATCTGTCATACCCAATAAAGCCGATATATGGTAAACCATGTTCTTCAATGATGTTTCGAAGGTACCAGTCTGCATCCATTCTCAAATTAATATCAACAAACGCTGTGCAACCTTTCTCACTGATTGCACCCCATAGAATAATGGAACCACCACCAAAGCTAACGGTTTGCAGAAGATTGCATGCAGTGTATCGTTCTCCAGTTCTTCCATAGACTCGATCACGTCCATCTAGCTTCCACAATTGTATTCTACTCTCATCTGTAAAAAGAATTCTGCTCCATTCATGTTCACCCCAATCAGCATGATTTCGTACAAACTGTAACCGGGCCGTACCGAGGCACACATTTTTTTGGGGGAGAAGACGATAAAAAACAACATATTTTTTATATACAGAGAGCACTAAGTATCCTTCTATATATGGGTATCTTTTTTATTTAAAGAGCTACAAGGTCGGTTAAATTTTCGGCGTCTTTTTTTATGGATTTTTATTTAGTTAAAGCCAATCTAAGCTAAGTAAAACTAATATCAATAACTTGCAATTTTTTTACAACCAGTGGCAAAGGAGCAGAGTCTCGGCCAAACAAAACTAAATATTACTAACTAGGAATTTATTTGTTTTTTTTGTGACAAATGTAACGAAGTTACTTTATTTTTCGTACATAACACGTCATGGTTTCACTTCTCCACGGCTTACATAAGTAGGGATATGCGCCGTTGTAAGTCCATAATACCGCCGCCGCGCAAACATGATGATATATAAGTACGCTCTCTTCCGTAACCTTTAGACCGCAAACCGAATTCGGAAAACCGAGGTTCTAGGAGAGTTTCTATACAAATTATTATACTTATCAACTCTGCCGCGAAGCGGTACCGAACATTTGAAACCGTTTAGCCGCTGACATACTGGCTTTCGAGTCCACCGTTTGTAAGAAATCGCTTGCTGACAATCGATCGTTTCAGAATCTGTAACCGCTGTATTTTACTTACTTTTCCGTACTTTTCATTTCATTTACATTGTTAGATTAATTGCTGTATTTTATTATTAATATTTGCTAGAAGTTTTTTTATATTCATTGTTACCGTTTTTTTATCCAATTACTTTTGACAATACAATCAGACCAATAAAAGATAACCTAAAATCAATAAAAAATTTCCCGGTCCCAAAAACACAAAAAAATATATGACAATTTTTGGGTAAAATTAATTTTTATCATAAATATTTACCAAAGAGTGCAGTAATTTTGGAACCTTTACATAATCTATTGAGGAAGAATCAGAAGTTTATTTGGACTGAAAATTGTCAAAATGTATTTGACAAAATTAAAGAATTTATGTGTTTACAACCAATCCTTGAAATTTTCGATCAAAACTTACCAATTAATATCTACACGGATGCTTCATTAGGAGGTGTTGGTGCAGTATTAAAACAAATTCAACTTACCGGTGAAGAAAAGCCAGTAGCATACTTTTCGAAGAAACTTAATGAAGTGCAAAAAAAGAAAAAAGCGATATATTTAGAATGTTTAGCGATTAAAGAAGCAATAAGATATTGGCAATATTGGTTAATAGGAAAATCATTTAATGTGTATTGTGATCACAAACCATTAGAAAATATAAATGTTAAATCCAGAACAGATGAAGAACTAGGAGACTTGTCATATTACTTATCTCAATATGATTTCAAAGTAAAATATAACCCAGGAAAGCAAAATTTAGAAGCAGATTGCTTAAGTAGAAATCCAGTGCTGGAAGCTGACGAGAATTTAGAGGAACAACTTAAAATAGTAAATTTAATCAAAATAGAAAATATTGTTGCAGAACAATGCAATAACAAAGATATTTGAAATAACCAAAATAAATTAATAAAAAATAAAAATGTGTTTTTTAAAAGAATAAGAAAGAAAGAAAAAATAATTTTATCCGAAGAATTTAGTATTGAATTTATAAAAATTGTTCATAAAAATCTATGTCACATTGGGATTAAGCAGATGAAAACAATGATTAGTCCTCATTATACAGCAAAGAACTTAACAAAAAATATAAAAATAGTTTGCAAATATTGTGAGATATGCATAAAAAACAAAACGAGAGGCCAGGATAAGTATGGATTAATGTCTTATTTGGGTCCTGCCACAAAACCTTTTGAAATAATATCTATAGACACAATAGGAGGTTTTGGTAGTTCAAGATCAACAAAAAAATACTTACACTTATTAGTGGATCATTTTACTAGGTACGTATTTATATTAACCTCAAAGACTCAATACAAGGTGCAACAGATTTTATTAAATTAGTTTCAAACATAACAGAAACAGATCATATTGGTATGGTGTTTACAGATCAATACCCAGGAATAAATTCAAAAGAATTTAAAGCATTCTTAAAAAATAAACAAACACTACTAGTATTTACAGCAGTTAATGCACCATTCTCAAATGGTTTGAATGAAAGATTAAATCAAACATTGGTTAATAAAATTAGATGTAAAATCAACGAAGAAAATAAAAAAATAGCTTGGACAACAATTGCACAAGTGTGTTAAAAAGTATAATGAAACGGAACACTCGGATACTAAATTTGCGCCAAAATATTTACTATATAGTACAGACATAAGTATTTTACCAGAAGAATTTAAAAAAAATAAAACAGAAATTGTTTGGGAAGAAGATAAAAAAGAGCACTTGAAAACACAATCAAGTCTCATAATTATAATAAACAACTATTAAATCAAATTTTGATCAAAATAGAAGGAAAATTCAATTAAATGTAGGAGACTCAGTGTATGTGGAAAATGTGAACAAGCTGAACAGAAGAAAATTGGATAAGCTACGAATTGGACCATATAGGATTATCAGAAAGATTTCAGACTCAATATATGTAGTTAATACAGGTCATAGAAAATTTGAATCCAATTTATTTCATATCAAAAAGCTGATACCAATTAACAAAGGAGAAGAAGAAACAGATGAAGAATTTAGATTAAATGAAAATTTATTGTAAAAATTTTCTCTTCCAAGGGGGGAGTAAAGAAAACAAGTTGTCTTTGGTTTGACTTTTTTATTGTTAAAGTTGACATTTTGTGTCGTATAGAAAAGTTAATGATAATACAAAAAATATTGTAAAAAGGAATTGACAAGATAAAATATAACTTTTATTGTCGTTTCTTTATTTTTAGGTAAGAAACTATTGTAATAACGAAATCTTAATTAATAAAACATTATTTTTAGAGCAACGTCAGACCCATTCATGCTATGCCAGCTTTTTTCTGTGTATCCATTAAAAAAAATGTCGTTCTCTAAATTTCAATCCATTATGCAAATTTTAGCAGGCCTTAAAAAGGAAAATTTTACTACATGGTCAATTATAACTTATCAGGCACTGTGCCCCAAAAGAAATAAATATTAAAATCGGTCAAAGCGTTCCAAAATTATGAGGGGTTGCGGTCTTAAATCGCACACACTGTATATTAATAAAACGCAATATTATTATTAGTAATTTTACGACATATAATTAACCATCAAGAAAAGAAATAGACGGAAACAATGACGGGATTTTTTTTTGCATTAATTATAATTATAACCCAATGATTCTGTATAAATTAACTACTTCAGTTACTATATAGAGTTTATAATACAAAAAACCGCAATATTTGTATGTATTAATGTGGTGAGTGTGCGTCGATTTTAAATTAAATTTAAAGGCTGTGTTTATTTTGATTGAGTTTAGTTAAGTATGACCGGCGTGAAAGTTTGGTGGTGCCTGTTCGCATTTTGCTTTGTGATTATTTTTGGTAAGTTTAGTAATTTATTAGAAATTTATTATTATTAAGGGATTTTCCGAATAGTTGTGAATAAGCTAAATTTTCCAAAGATGGATAAATTTTAATAATCATAGAAATGTAAACGTTTATTTAAAATAAATATGCACGTTTTAAAGACTATGTCATTGTCTTTAGATTTTAAGTAAAAAGTTATGCACATACTTCTTAGTTAAAATCTAAACTTTAGATTCAAAAGATATGTCAATCCAGCATATTTATTTAAAATTAGTACAATATAAAACTATTTCATTCGTTTTATTACACAAACGCAAATATTGTTATTTGATTATTATTTATTTTTAATATACAGGGTGATTCACCTAACTTATTCATTAGAAGTTCATGAAGAACGGAAAAAGATATGGATTTGAAATTTGTATTATCCTATAATAGTAATTATAAGGCAATGTAAACTATTTTATAAAATTATTTTCAATTCGTTATACCTTCCGGTTAAACCGGAAGTGATCAACTTTGTTTTTTTAAATGGAACCATATAAATATTATTATTTTTAAACTCTTCATAAAATTCTGGAAATAATAAAATTTAATTATTTTTTTTATTTTGAACAGGTTTTGAGATATTTAATTCTTTTCAAAAAATTTTACAGATGGATGGTCTTACTAATATATCCATTAGGGTGCTTCAAAAAATAAAATTTAATTTTTTTTTCGCTCTTACACTACAAAAAAGGTCTCTTATTATTTAAAAAAAAAAACAGAAAATTTGATATTATCAAACTTTGACCTCGAATAACTCTAAAAGAAATCAATTTATCGAAAAATAATAAGAAAGCTTTTTTGTAAAGCGTTACATTTTATATAAACTGCAATAATCATTACCATAAGTTACTTTGATATAGAGGTATAAAATTCCAAACATAAAATAATTTTTTCCCATGTTAATTAAATGGGAAAGTAAAATAAAAACAGCGACCTCTTAGAGTTGAGCTGGAACGCTCATATTTGCTGAGGATTTTTTTTATATTAAATAGAAACATTTGAGAGGGTAAGAGCGAAAAAAAAATTAAATTTTATTTTTTGAAGCACCCTAATATGCATATTACCACTAAATGTAATGTTAAAAAGTTAATTTAAAGTGTTCCTGTTAACTACGTTGACTTTTTGTCATTTTAAATGAAAATACATTTCTTATTTCAAACAAAAAAAATTTGTGAATATTTATTTTATTATATTATATAATATATAATATATTTATTTTATTTCATTAAATAAGTAAATGCTGCATTATTTAAATAGAAAACATTATTTTGTGTCGAATGAGGTGAAAATTGTATGGTATCTTCTAATAGAGTGCTCCTTAGTTAACAGGTGCACCAAAAATTACAATTAGTGGTAATACAGACATATTAGTAAGACCATCAATCTGTCAAAATTTTTGAAAAAAATTAAATATCTCAAAAACTAATAAAAATAAAAAAAATAATCAAATTTTAGTATTTCTAGAATTTAACGTACAATTTAAAAATGCAATAATATTAATATGGTACCTTTTGAAAAATCAAATTTTAAAGCACTTCCGTTTTAACCGGAAGCGATAACGCATGGAAAATTATTTTAAAAAAGTTTACAATGCTTTATAATTGCTATACAAAAACCAGGTAACATTTACAGGGTTAAATTCCTTCGGTGGTTTTATAAGTTGGCCTCCAAGATCTCCTGACCTTACAAAATTTATCTATCACAGTAAATATCAAGTTCAATAGCGATTTTAAAAAAAAAATTATACAGTAAAAGTCATTGGGTTTGGTATTTATTTTTAATTTGAAATAAACTAGATATTTAAAACTTACTTCCCACAAAATTTTCCAAAACGAACTTAAATAGAAATTGATAGACAAACAAACTAAATGGCTATTAATTGAAGCAAATTAAAGCAAATATGTAGATTATATTAATTTATTGTTAAGAAATTATATTTAATTTATATTTGATTTTAAAATATTGTCAAGCAGTGTCAACTAACTATATTAACTACTTAATTAGCTTTTATTTTTTGCTATTTTAATTTTTTATTGTATTTATGGGGTAAAATTTCCCAAATGTACTACCGAAAAAATGTTAATTTTTCCAATCTTTTCCAAATTTTACTAGTTAGTAGTAGTTTTTCTTTCACAAACATAAAAAAATATATACGGTATATAAAAATTTCAAAATTAAATATTTAAAAAATTGCTTTTTTAAGCTTTTTTTATTATTTTCAAATTATTTTTTTTAAATTTTTCAAATAAGTTCATTACAAAGCTTGACTCTTTTGGATAAGCTGAAGCACAAAGCATAGTGTTATCTGTTATCTGTCATCAAGCAAAACTTCGACAGGCGTCAAGATGACCAATGACATCTAACAAACGTATAAAATACAAAGACCTGGTAATAAAGCAAAATCCTTTACATAATTTAGTAAAATTTGAAAAATATTAGGAAAGTGAAATTTTTTTGCTGGCAAAATTTTGCCCCTCGAAAAAAATACATATCGTATCAAACGGATAACCTAAATATACTTAGAAAGTTTACTATTTTAGGAGGTGCATTCCAAAACTCGGCTTATCCATATTAGTTATTTTTGAGCAAAATGTCAAAAACCTTACACGCATATCAGACTAACAGAATAATTTAAACGAAATATATAGGCATAAGTAAAACATTTATATACCTTGATTAAAAAGGTATAGCTCCAATTTAAAATAATTTAAAATTACATACGTATATGCCGAGTTCTGCATGATATAACCAATAGATAAGGCAAGTTTTGGAACGATAGTCAATTTGTAAATGAATTTGAAATGGAATAAGGTGAGTTTTAGAATATTATGAACTTTTCAGGGTATAGGGGGATACATGTTAAATGTGCAGACATGTCTAGACATGTCTAGACACCACTAACTCATTTTTATTAAAAAGTGGATAAGCCGAGTTTTGGAATGGACCTCCTCATTTAATAAGATGCATTAAAAAGTAATGCTTTTAGAAAGAAAAGTTAAATATTATAAATAGTTATGGCAATTATCTTTTATTGCAAAAACTCAACGAGTTTCGGCAATTATCGTATATTGTAGAAAGTCTAAGAGTTGTTTGTAGCTATTCACATTAAAAGGTGTCACTAATACTTTTGTAGACTTGCAGTTTATTGTATAAATAGTTATTGCAACACTCGTATGTTGAAAAACCAAAATTAATTAAAAAAATATAATAGTCAAACTACTTTTTGCAATTGTCTTAGATTGTAAAAACTTACTTTGTAATTGTTAAGGTTTATCCGATTGGGCTTTATGGGAAAAAGTAATGCTTTTACTTAAAATACAAGTATTGCATTCGACTTTTGGCAATATACGAATGCTGTGAAAAGTATGGCAGACCTGTCTAGAGGAAACAAAAAACTCTAGATTTAGGGATTTTAAGCCAACGGTTTGCCAACCTGCCTTACCAAAGACAACACCTTAAAATCCTTAAATCTAGTGTTCTTGGTACAGGGTAGCCATACTTTTTACAACATTCGTATATAGCCAAAAATCAATTGTAATATTTGTATTTTAAGTAAGGTTTAAGTTTTTTTAACATAGAGTATCTGCAAGTCTTCAAAACTATTAGTGGCGTCTTTTAATGTAAATACAACTCTTTGGGTTTTTGCAACATACAACAATTTCCAAAACTCTTTGGGTTTTTGCAACATACGATAATTGCCAAAACTATTTATAATATTTAACTTTACTCTATAAAAGCTTTACTTTTTCCCATAAAGCCCAATCGCATAAACCTTAACAATTACAAAGTGAGTTATTCCAATCTATGACAATTGCAAAAAGTATTTTGACTTTTATATTCTTTTAAATAATAAGGTTTTTCAAAACACGTGTTGCAATAACTATTTTATATAATAACCTGCAAGTCTACAAAAGGATTAGTGACACCTTTTACGATAATTGCCAAAATTTTTTGAGTTCGCAATAAACTACATTTGCTAAAACTATGTATAATATATAACTTTTTTTCATAAAAGCTTTACTTTTTTCCATATAGCACAATTGCAAGTTATTAAATAGTAAAAAAAACGTTTGATAATACAACTAAAAATTAAATAAGTATCAAATTGGCGCGCTCTGCTTTTTTATTTAACATAACAATTTGCTGTATGTTATTAAATAGTAAAACGGCCTTCCATAACAAGCTAAACTTCAACAATATCTTTTTAATTAGATATGTTATTTTAAAATATTTATCTTCAGCGTTCTACCGGGTGAGTTTTATAAGTGTTATAACACTTTATAAAAGGGGATATTTCGAAAACGGTTTAAAAATATTTTGTAAAATTTTGGTAGAGGGGTGGGGGGGGCATATTTAAACAAACCACATAGACTGAACGTTAAGGGCGATGTAGTTGAAGCCGGGTAAAGGCCTGTACAGGCCCAGCGATCGCGATTTATCTCCATTATAAATCGACCAACGTGATGTTCACGTCGTGATATTTTTTGTATTTATTTTAAAAACATGGGTAAATGTGTAGTAATAGGATGTGAAAATAGAACTGAGACCAAATACGACGAAAAAAAATATGTTAATTTCTTTATGTAAGTAGAAATTAAATATATAAAATTGTAGAAATCGCGCTCTCCTCCGCTATTAAATTGGCTTGCGTCGAGGAAAATCAGAGTTGAACTAGTAAATTTCGAGCACAATTAATTTCGGAGAGAGGTCTTTTTGTGCATGTTTACCATTGTTTGTTGTATTTCATGTTTTTTATATGTCATTTAGGTATATTTAAAATTCGCCAAGGAATATAAATACTAAATATAGTAAACATTTCATCTAATAATAAAGTTTTAAGTTTTCATTCACTAAAAATATTCATTATCAATTGTAGTTTCATTGTTTTTATAAATAAATTGATTCATTGCTTTTGTAAATAAATTTACTTTTCCTAAAGATCTTTATTAAAAATAACTATAAAAATT